TTCAACGTACCCCTCAGTCTTTTCCTCCGTTAAATGCCACTCTCTCTGAATCATCCTCTTCAGCAAGAAGGTCTTATGCAAAAGTTACTATGACACCAAAAAGGAAAAAGGTAAACGTGATTGAAAAAACAGGCTATGATATATTAGCACATAAAGGAGCTCTGCTTCCTCAACCGACCAGATTAGTATCTCAATCATCAGTATATCAATATACTCAAGAGAAGGTCACACCAAACACAAAATTAGACTCTCAACCCTCAGTTTATCAATGTACTCAAGGTAAAATAACACCAGATAATCTATCTCCTCCGCATTCTTCTCTAAAAAGTTCCTGGATTGATATCCATTTAGACGCATCTGACAATAACAATCCTAATGATTCCGAGAGCATGTTAATTGATGATATTCCAAATACTCCTTTCTCTTCTTCATTTCCAAAAATTTAAATATAAGACAAATTCGAACTGCTGCACATTTAGCAATTTATATCATAATAAGTATTTAAAATAATTTAAGTAACCTATTTTAATTATTATTTAGAGTAATTTTAATGGACTTAAAAATTCTTCATTGGAATATTCGTAGTTTTTATACGAACAAAGATACACTGGTAAACTTAATTCGAGATTTACAGTTGGACATAGTGTGCTTAAATGAAACATTTCTAAAGTATAATCAAATATCTTTTATTCGAGGTTTTGACTGTATAAGACACGACAGGTATGATGGGTACGGGGGAGTAGCTATACTTATTCATAATAACATTCCGTTTAATCGAATAATCCTAACAAATATATTATTACCTGACTCTTGGCAAATTGTAGTAATAGAATTACCTCCTTTAATTCTTATTAGTATTTACATAACCCCTGACACAGTTTTATCTAGGAACATTCTTAATAATGTGTTCACTTTCATTAGGGCAAAATCACATAAACCAATTGTTTTAATAGGGGATCTTAATACTCAACATACGGCCTGGGGCTCTGGTTATTGTAACAGGAATGGTTTAACTCTTGAAAAGTTTCTAGATGACTATGGACTTGTCATACTCAATGATGACACTCCCACTAGAATTACTCGTCCAGATGAAAGAGCTAGTGCTCCCGACGTATGTATCTGTCCTCCGGAACTGGCTACTAAATCAAATTGGCAAGTAATATATGATTCTGGGACCAGTGACCACCTTCCTTGCCTTGCACACTTTAGTAATGGAGATAAAGGAAAAATAGACCATAGTAGAACAACTCTTGGGCGATTTAATACTAAAAGAGCTAATTGGCCACTATTTACATCAACCATAGAAGCTGAATTTAATACTATAGACAGAACATACGATGAATTTTCTAAAATCATAATTTCGGCTGCAAAGAGGACAATTCCATTAAAAAAATGTAAAAAGGTTGGTAAACCTCGAAACGTTTGGTGGAATGATGCTTGTACAGTAGCAATTCAAGCACGCAAGGAGGCCCTTCGACAATACAAAGAAAACGCAACGATTGAGAACTTCGTGGAATTTAAAAAAATTCGAGCAAAGACAAGAAGAATACTAAAAGAACAGAAAATGCAAAATTTTCAGAAATTTTGCTCTAGCTTATCTCCGAATAAAAAGATATCAGAGATATGGAATGTGGTAAAAGCTTTTTCTAATTCACAAAAACAATATCGTCGATGTCCACCTCTCAATTCTAATATTGGCCCTTTATTATTACAAAAGCTTACTGATAATATTGATCAGGATAACATATCTGAAATAAATTTTTCTGTGAAAACAAGTAAACCTTTCACTTTAGATGAAATTAATTCTGTTCTCCAGGAGAAAAAGGACACGGCTCCAGGTTTAGATAATATATCAAATAGTATGCTATCCCACCTTCCTTTAAGTGGTCTAGAATATTTATTAAATATATATAATAGAGTTTTAACAAATTTAGTACCTATTCCTCAAGAGTGGAAATCTCAACTGGTGACGCCTGTACCCAAGCCTGGAAAAGATATTAGTTCTACGGAAGGTTGGAGACCTATTAACCTTTCCTCCTGTCCCGGTAAATTATTTGAATCATTAATTAAAAACAGAATAGAGTGGCATTTAGAAAATAAAAGCCTGCTTAATTCAAAACAGTCAGGTTTTCGACGAGGAAGAGGAATTCAGGATAACTTAACGGCTTTGTATTCATTAATTGCTACAAGCCTAACTGACAGAGAGGATGCTGTGGTAGCTCTGCTTGATATATCATCAGCTTATGACAATGTAAATATTTCAAAATTATTTAAAAGGTTAGCGGAATACACACTCCCGGAGGATATTTGTAGAATTTGCATTTCCTTATTGTCGCAGCGAAGCATTAGCGTTTTGGATCCGTTATCTGGCAATATCATAGGCCCACGTATCACAAATAAGGGAGTTCCTCAGGGATCCCCTTTAAGCCCGATATTATTTAATATATATTGTGACCCTCTTAAAACAGTAATTTCCGAGAATGTAACTCTACTAGGTTATGCAGATGATTTTATTCTAATTTGCACTGGTCATAATCGGAAAAAGATGATCAATGATGTTAATGAGTCACTTAAAAATATTAAATCATATTTGGAGGAAAATGGACTACAATTATCTCCCTCAAAATGTATGGCTATTTGTTTTAAAAATAAAGGTAAACCCAACCCGTTAGATTACATTAAAATTAATGGAAACAAAATTCCCTGGAAAAATGAAATTAAATACTTAGGAGTTACTTTTCAACATAATTTGAACTGGAAGCCACATGTAGAGTACATATGTGGCAAAGCACTAAAAGGCATTAACTTAATGAAATGCTTATGCCGTACATGGTGGGGTGCCCACCCATCTACTCTTCTTATGATTTATAAAGCCTTGGTTCGTAGTCATCTAGATTTTGGAAGTATTCTTTTCGGCCGTTGTTCGCAAGAGCTCTTGAAACGATTAGATAAAATGCAATATCAAGCTATTCGTGTAGTATTAGGTATGATGCGCTCAACACCAACTAATATATTGCTATCTGAAAGTGGAGAGTCAACCTTAAAGTCTCGAAGGAGCTGGTTAGCACTAAAATACGTAACTAAGATTTTATCCTATAAAAATTCCTTTTATTACTATATAAGTTCTTTGCACGAATGCTTTTTGAGAGACGTCCAGTTTTGGCCTGTTAATAAAATTGCACCAATTATGGAAGCGTTCCATGCTATTAGGCCTTTTCTTCAAGAAATTCATTTTTTAGATACCTTTCCGTGCTTTCAATTTCCCATAGAAATACAGGTTGCGACTATTCCTTTTATGGAATTAAATTTAGATAAATGTACATTCAATAAGCAAAATTTTATAATAGAAGCAAAGTCAAAATTTCCCAACTATACATTTTTATTTACTGATGGATCCAAAGATCGGCAGGGCAAAACTGGCGCTGGTATCTTTTCTACAAATTTAATTGCCAAATCTTTTCGACTTCCAAATTTCTTTTCAATCTGTTCGGCCGAAATATATGCAATTAAAGAAGCGGTTATATTTATTATAACTGAGAATATTAGGAAGGCAGTTATTTTCAGCGACTCTAAAAGTGCTCTCCAAAAAATATCCAGTAATTGCATATCGAGTAAAATGGACTATTTAACATTAGAAATAAAACATAGTTTATTTAATGCAAAGAGTTTGGGGATAGATATTTGTCTAGCATGGATTCCTAGTCACTGCGGAATAACTGGAAATGAGGAAGTAGATGAACTGGCCAAAAAAGGCCGACTGCAAATATTAAATATTAATGCCAGGGTGCATCATAGTGAACTTTTGCCTTTTTTTAAATCCAATACATGGAAAAAATGGGAGGAGGAATATAAAGTGATATGCCAAGTTAAAGGGAAACTATATGGAGAAGTAATTCAAATTCCATTAAAGAGACCGTGGTTTGCAAAAATAAAAAATTTGAATAGAAGGGATATAAGTACCGTATGCAGATTAAGAAGCGGTCATTGTTTAAGTATGGTGCATCTAAAGAAAATAGGTGTAAAAGAAAATGATAGGTGTACATGTGGAAAACTGGAGGATTTACAACATATTTTTTTTAATTGTCAAAATAATTTTAATAATATTTATACATTTTTAGATAGTTTAGATATTCCAAAAAATTTTATAAAACCTGTTACACTTTTTGATGTATTGTTTAAACTTCTGTCTTTCGGTAATGTTAAAAAAATATCAAAATTTATACAAATGTCTAAAATTAAGCTGTAAAATATTGTAATTATTTACCTGTTGTTACCAAATGGCTGTATCATCTTAGCTATGTAGGCCAATAAATTATAAAAAAAAAAAAAAAAAAAATGGTTGTAGCGTCAGCAGTTGCTGCTAAAAATTTCATTCACCGTATTTTTTGAGCACATCTCGTGTATTTATTAAAAAATTATAAAAAGTAATGCAAATGGATTATTTTAGGAATTAAAATATGGTATACCATTTCAAGGTCGCAAACATTTGTGGTGTCTCTATAATGTGGTATGAATAAAAGCTTTAGTACTGCTAAAATTGTTTAAAAACATGGTACAGTGTAAATATCTAGGTAAACTGTACCATTTGCTAAAATCTTAGATTTTTTCGCTTGCATATTTTATAGGCAATTACGAATTGTAAGTAAAAGTGTAATTGGTAATTATTTTAAAAGATTTATCTCTTCATCATATTTGAATCGACAACTCTGTTACAATCTCCTAAAAAATTTTCCGAATTCTGATAACTTTTCTCCTTTTTCAAACTTTATTTCCATATTCTGGCCCTCAAAAGTCATAAGATTTGCTGTCAACACATCTATTTATATTATTAGCAGACCACTAATAAATAGTTCCTAATAGTATTTGATAATTTTTATATTCATATCTATTCCCAATCTCCAGAAAAAAAATCCCAATATATTTTTTGGATAAAAGACATTTTTGCTAAAGTAAATATTTCTTTTAATTTTTGCTGCCTGAAATATTATTTCATATTACAGGCTAGGGAGGAATTTAGAATATTAAAACATAGAAAAGAAGTTGAATGGGCAACTAGGATTATTCAAAGGCATTATATCCAATGGAAAGTAAGATTTTTTTAAATAATCTTGATGATATATCTATTAACAATCTAAATCTTTTTTAGCGACGACAGTTTTTGTTGAATCTCTGTAGAATTTTACCAGAAGACGCAGATTCTCCGGTTTGCAGAGAATGGCCTCAAGGAACGCATAGGTTGATTGAATGTAGTACATTGTTAAATAAAATACATCATAGGTGGCGTTGTCACAAATTTAGAATGAAATTCGACCAAACCGCAAGGAATCGCATGAGGGAAAAAGTCACAGCGAGTTTTATATTTAAAGATAGAAAGTGTTCATATCCTAGAAGGTAAGTAACATTTATAATACCCTTATCAGGGGTTGTACGCAGGACATTATTGAAATACATGTAGATATTAAAACAAATTAATATTTATGCACAAAAATTTCAAAAAAAATACCAATTGAACTAGTAATAACATTTTTAAAATGGATGTTAAAACAGGCCTATGCCACTTAAGGTAATTCACTCGCAAAAGACTTAAGAATTCAATAAAATTGAAAGTATCTTTTACGTAACTAAAAAAATGATTTTTTTTTTACCGTCTGTGAAACGAGATATGTACAATCAAAATGTGCATAATTAACACTCTTGAAGAATGTCATGTACACAAGCAATGCATTTATTTCAAGATATCTCGAAAACTGTTTTTTTTTAAGAACTAATGTAGATGCGTACAATGATTACAACTTGGCAACATTGTAATCACTACACTTGACGCGTGGTAACTGAGTTACACTCGATCAGCTGTTATAACCTCGTGTCGTGTTCTTGAAAAATTAATTCGTCCACTGTATTTGAGAACTGGAATTGACGGTTCTCTTTGAACCAAAACAAACCCTTAAAATTAGTATGAGGAAGTCACAAATTTCTATAGCCCATCATTCATAGATTCGCGACATTGCCGGATGGATTTTACTTGAAATTATAACGTATCCGTATATAATATGAGCTTACATGTGTTGTGTACAGTCTCTTACAAAAATAACATTTTTTAGCATTGAAAATTTCAAATTTGGCGATATTTTTATGTACGACTGTCGCGAGTGAACTACCTTAATTCATTTTACAACTGCATATACAACCATTTTCATAAAAACATAACATCATGGTTGCAAGAAACTTGTACCTCTAACCTCACAAAACGAGACAAAAGAACTACTCCAGGTAATTATGCTTATGAATTAATAGGGATTGCTCCATACTTCTTATACCATCGAAATTAAAAATGGCCGTCGGTAGACATATACAGGGTGTTTCTGAACTTGGCGTCCAAATTTGTAGGGGTGGTAGTTCGCATAATTTGAGACCGATTCGCAGATTTCATTTTTCCAAAATAATTAAAATTAAAATAATTAAAAGTTAATTAAAAATTATAAACAGGTACGGTCCTGCACAGCGATAGGAGCGCCTCGACTCGCGCGCGCTACGCTTAGAATCGACAAAATTGCATCTGTTTTTGAGGACTATTGCGCTACGCGCTCAGGGTAGGACCTGCTCTTTGATTTTTTTTTATAATGGCTCTATTTTGTTTATTATAATTTTTTTAGAAAAATGAAATCTGCCAATCGGTCTCAAATTATGCGAACTACCACCCCTACAAATTTGGACGCCAAGTTCGGAAACAACCTGTATACGATTTACATTGAAGAAGAGAGGATTATTGGTATCTTTTTAGGTTAGAAAGTGAATATATTTTAGTTATTATAATATTTATTTTGCATGGCCTCGGCTGCAAATTTCTGATTCGGCAAAACAGCTTAACTTTATAGCCTTGGTACACAAATAAGTATTAGACGACTTTCTTATTAAGTAGATCATAGAACATAGAACATTTTTTTGATATTTTCGTTCCTGAAAAGAGATTTGAATGCAAGAATAGTTTTAAATTTTTATTGAATGAATAAATAATAACATTTGTACAGAATTACTAGAGATAAGTATGAGAATCTTGCTTTTATAAAAAGTGGCCTTACAGTAAATGCCACAAAACAAGTTATACTTTAGATACGTTAATAAATCCGTAAAATGTAATTTTTTGTTACAGTCACCTAAAAAATATCTTTTAATGGCCAACAAAACAAGTGAACTAAAATGTTTATTTTATGAGATGAGTCCATTCACAATACATAACACTACACAAATATAAAAGTAATTTTAAAAAACCGACTACAAAATCGTGCAGATGCCATCACCAGATCTTGACCACATTTATATGGGACCATCTCTGAGGTACCCCCTTTCTAACAAAAAAATAATCATAGAAATCGGACAAAGTGGTAAAAAAATATTGCTGAACATACATAAAAAATGAAGAGTTTGAGAATTTGCCCATTGGCCCAATTATTTGATATTGACCAAATTTATATGGGACCACCCCTGAAGTACCCCCTTTATAACAAAATAATTATTGAAATCGGATAACGTGGCAAAGAATTATCGCTGAACATACATAAAAAAGATATTTTGAAAAAACTAAAAAAAAGCTAATAAAAGCTAAAAAACTAAAAAAAGCTTAAGAAAAGCTTTAAAAAAGCTAAAAAGCTATAAAAAAACTTTAAAATGCTCAAAAAAGCTAAAAAAAAAAACTCGGTTTTTCGAAGTTCAATGGTTTGGTCCTAATTTGTCATTGAGCAACTGCAGGAATAATATCGATTCATATTAAATGTATTTCTTTCTGCACGTTCACGTTTCTCTACAGGAGAACTTGCCCCCTCCGGGTGATTTCCAATTGGCGCCTATGTATTTCATTAGAAATTGCAAATGAGAAGTATATTTTTTGTTTACTTTTACTTTTTTTTAGTGTTTCTCATCCTTTTGTGGGAGACTACGTTCGTTTGAGGCAGAATGTGCAGTGGAAGAAAATGTGTCTGGAAAATAATGACCAATATGTAGTTTTTGCTGATATTATTAACAAAATTACCAGATCTAGTGGAAAAGTAAGTAAATTATATGGAGTGATCTACAAAAAATGTTTCTAAACTATTCTTGGAAAAATTCATGTACATATGAGCTTTCAATTATTCATTTTCTTAAATGTCAGTTTGGATTTAATTCAAAGCTGTGAGTAGTTATCCCGGGTATGACTTATCTCTTTCTCGCTCATGGTCTACTTTAGAAACATTTTTTGTGGATCACTCTTTATTATATTATAATTCATTGTTACAAAATTAGTCCAAACTGAAATGATTGTGCAACTTTTTCCATAAAATATGATTTGGTCGTGCCTGATTTTGTACAGTTTAGAAATTTCTGGTCTTAACACTATTACTCAATTTTGTATTCTCGTTCTGTTAACAAAATCGGATATCAATGCAGTGAAACTATCATTCTGTATTTTATATAAAAAAGAAAATGAAGGTACAAGTAACTCTTCCACCACGAAAGATGGAATGTCATCAATTACGTAAAAATACTAATGGAATGAAGAGAAAAACACTCAGTTCTTGCCTAATCCAAAGAAGGAAGAAGCAAAAGAAGAAGACTTATTGTGCCATTAGAGGATTCTATTGCTATACTCATTTAATTGACATATCTTACATGGTTAAATGCTAGTTCAATATAAAGTTACCTAGCAGGTACTGATCCCAAATGTGACCAGAGACTTTACTTCTGCACTCCATGAATGAGTATGTGGATCGACACGATAATCACAGCCCACCTCTTTGGTCTAAAATTCCAATACAACTCTTATTTTTTTTTTTAGTTTGTTCCAATTCTTCTGGTCATATCAACAAGGTCAATGCTGGTGTTGGATCAAAGGACGTTGCAAATCAAATATCGAGTGCCTGCTACCGAAATTTATAGAATGTCTTTGTCGCCGTTTCTTGACGATGTGGCTGTGGTTCATGTGAAAGCAGTAAGCAAAATATTTATTTATTTAGAATTTTATATGTACAAAAATCCCAACAGCACTTTCTAAAAAGCTCGTCATACTAATTTGTATTAAATCGTTTTGCAATTCCTTCTAATATTTAGCAGTATTGTAAAGAACTATCAGTAGTCAAGTTTTTACCTCTCAACAGGACAATGTTTGTTAAGAACTTTGTTCAAATGAAATGTAGATTTTTATAGCCTATACAAATCTTAGAGCTGTTTATTCTCTTACACTCTCAAACTTCCAAAGCTTTCTTCATTTGCATATCAGAACATATTTGGACCCATAAGAACAAAAATATAGTTAATAAAAACAATTCTTGATTAACAAAACAATAATTATTATACTTTATGGCCTGTAGATTTAAGATTGTTCTCCTTTCTGTAGAGTATCTAGCGCTAGATTAGTTTGTTGTTTATTTCGCAGTCATCCCTAGCAAATCCCGAAACGTCTAGTGCCTCATCTGACCAGACGAGCTGTCTATTTCAGAGCGATCTGAGCAAGAAGAAGGGAGACTTCGTGTTCCAAACTGGCCACGTCATAGAAATTGTTACCAAGTTGTTTTTGGTTGTTCAGAACGCGACTGGAAAGCCTCCGGAAGTCAACATTACCACCGAGTAAGATTATTTATTCATTTAAGTTAATTTGAATGTTATGTTCTTACAAACATCTACGAAAATGGACGTAAAATACGTAAGAGAACAATAATTAATGCAATTAAGTTCTTATAAAATACTATCTTTTTATAAAAAATTCAAGTGTGATAGGATGGGACGCCTATTACTATGATTTTAATCTATAATATAAACTTAACTGTGAAATGAAACACCCGGATTTGGATAATTCAGTTTTTTGCACACTAAGCAATGTCTAATCATATTTTTTTAAATCAATTAAATTAAAACAATAAGTCACAGTAAAACACATAACAAACAAAAATGGAAAAGGCCGTCATAAAACAAATATAAAATACTATTATACTACATTCAGTGTCAGATTGGGACCTCCAGGGCCTACCGGTCAAAACGGAGAAGGGCCCACCATTTTTTTCCATGGATCGATTCCTTAAAAAACAAAAAAGGTCATCTTTGCACACTGATGCTTCTTCTGAGAGTTTCTTTGCATTTTTTGTTTTTAAGGGCACTGCCTGAACGAGGGCACACTACTTGAACGAGGGCCTACTGGTCCTTTGACCTGTAGACTGACGGTCCAATCCGACACTGGCTACATTCATTGATAAAGGAAGGAACAGATGATACCGCGGTTGCTACAGTTCTATGAAATTCTGTAGACATTTATGTAGTGCCTTGGAAGCACTACGTACTAACTCCAACTCATGTATCGACGTACATGTCACACATATCAATCTTACCTTTTGTGGTAGCTTAGTGAGAGGCAAGATTAAAGCGCACCCCGCCTATCTACTTGAAAACCTCGGTTGTCATGCATTAATAATATTTTTCTACACCCGTATTATAATAATGCACTTATATGCCCATAATCCGTTTCATAATGATACCCATTATGATACAGATTTTTCATTACGATACAGATTTTTAATCAATAGAAACCTACTATTTTTCAATCAAGCATGCTGTTTGACGTTTGTCCTAGGTTTCTATGTAATTGTTTTAGTTGTCAAAACGTATTAAATTTTCGTAGATAGCTAAACTTCGATAATTATAATATTAAAATGTCTCATATCAGCGATATAGAAGACTCTTCCACACATATCGGAGAAAGCAGAAAATACAGTACAAAATATTTTGCAGCAAAAATCTAGGGAAATACCAATACCCGAAGTAATACCATTAATTACAATTTTGTAGAATTTTTTATAGAAATACGAGTAATTACTGTTATTGTGTTCAATACCAATATAAATATAATATTTATAGGTCTTGATTATTTATCGGGTGTAGAAAAAATAGCGTATGCAACTCTCATGTAATGGTTATTAAAACACTCGCATAGACCATACGAAACTCGCCTTTGGCTCGTTTCGTATCCCGGTTAATGCTCGTGTATTAATAACCATCATTACATGATCGTTGCATATTATACACACAATTGTCATTATTATATTTTCTGTCATGATGGATTTACATATTTTATTATATATTGTTATGATATCGCACATATACCAATTTTATTTGTATTTTAATTATAGTTTTTTTTTGTGTTTCAAATTATAATATTAATACTTTTTATTTAGTTTAATTTTTTTTTATGTAATCTATTTTAATTTTTTTTAAATTTATTCAATTGTATTTTAATTCTATTTTAATGTTATTATAATTTTATTTTAATCAATAATCAACAAAAATTTAAAAAAATATGACTTAACTTGTTTATACCGTATTTTCAAATAAAATAAACAAATTTTCAAAACCACAATACAAGATTTATTATTAAACAAGTTATTCAAATCTGCAATTAACAATATTCCCCGCTATTTATGGGAATTATAACATACTACCTATATTACTAAAACTACTCTAAATTCATTCGCTCTTCTTTCATACTAATTAAACTATATACTAAAATTAAATTCTACAAAAAAAATTAACAACTTTCAATGTCTTTTCACGCACAATTATTATTTGATCGAAAATTAGTTCGTAAAAATTACTCACTGTTGTTCTTCCAAAAGTATTCTAATTATCTTCGCTTTATCTGTCTTCTATTGGATTTCTACGTGTACATTTCTTCGGAACACCATTATGAATGTTTTTCCACAACCATTTTGTATTATCTATTTTACTATTTTTAACTATATTTATGTGTTTGGTTAGATTAATTTGTTTATTTAATATGTCTTCTATATCAGTTTTACAATTGCTTTTCCATATTTTAAACTAAATTATTTCTACAAAAATTTTGACTTCCCTTTTTAAAATCTGACATTCAACAACCCCCAACTTAGAAACCATCCTCTCTACCTACTTTCACTTAAGACTTTTTATCAATTTTAACTATACAGGGTTATAATATAACATTTTCCCACATTACTTTATTTATTAATGTTCTTATTATTGTTGTTATTATTATTATTATTATTATTATTAGATTTAATATTATATTTTAATATAGGGTGTTATCATTACAATATATTCATATACACCCCTTACAAACTGCTCCGTAATTTATAACATTTATCTATCAATCCGATTTCATGTATTATTATTTTATAACATGTAAAAATAACTCACTGTCCATGATAATTTACACATAGATATAGAGTTTTGGAAATGACTGAAAAAATTAGAGTAACTTTGACAACATTGAATAGTGATATGGGATTTTATATTATACGACGGTTAGAATGGCGCGGACCAAAATGTAAACAAGCTTCTTTATCCTTTATCTGTGTCCAACGCTTTTTCAGCGTCTACAAAAATGCATCAACCAAAGTGGCGATTACGTAGAAAAATAAGCAAATATTCAACCTTTACAATGATGTGAATAAAAGGATTTTGTATTTCTAAAAAATAGAAAACCTTACTTTTTGGATTACCCTCGTATAAATAAAATATCATTTCTAAAGAGAAATTGTGTACCTTCAGCTGTTTAATTTACCATATTTTTTTGCCTTATAAGTTGAATTAAATAATCAATAGTCATCATTTCTTAATATGTTAAGTATTGAAGCCTATTAATAGGAAACCCGTTAATTTTTAATATTTAACGTTTAATTAATACATTTATATTTCAAAGAAATACAGTTTTGCTGTACAAATAAACTAATAATATGTTAATATTATGACAAGTTATAATTTAACATAAATTTATTTGTTTATATAGGCACTCATATGTCTACATTTTAAACACTTACGAAACATAAATCGGTCCTGTTGCATACCAAGAATTTAAAACTTTGTCAATTATAATCATCTTTTAAAAATGCTACGAACGTTTGCAACAGAAAAACTGTATCTCAAATTAAAAACATTTACACACTACCCAGTCAAATATAACGTGAATCACATGAGACATAGAAAACAGTCTTTCATCTCTCTATTAACAAAATGCTTCTCACTCATGTGTTCCAACTAAGTAATTTATTCAGTTACAAAATCTAGCTAATCAAATGTAATATAGCAGTCATCACGAAGTTTATAAGTAGACATGAAGCAGGAGCATCACCGACATTATTGGTTATACCGTAATATAATACTCAACAATTCATCAGAGCATGAGCCTGCTTTTTTTACATCGCACAGTGTGGCATTTAGACCTAAAACCTGGCCAACTACTACATAACTTTTTTTACTTTTTATTAGGATTGTATAGTATACAACTATTAGAAATTAAAAATTTAAAAAAACCGACTTCAAAAACGGGCAGATGCCATCACCACATCTTAACCAAATTTATATGGGACCACCCCTGAGGTATCCCATACTAACAAAAAAAGAATCATTGAAATCGGACACCGTGTTAAAGAATAATCACTGAACATACATAAAAAAAATATCGCGACGAATTGATAACCTCCTCCTTTTTTGAAATCGGTTAAAAATGATAAAATAGAATTATTTCGATATCAAAGCATTTATTCATCACTACCACTATCTTCACTAATATTCATATTTGTTATATCACTTTCTGATAATAACTTTAAAACATCATTATTTGAGATGCATCTTATGCCAGTTAGTAGGGGGTCAGAAGTTTAAAGTAACCTATTCGGGACATCCCAATTGCAAGATACGTGTGAAAACTTTCTTCTGTAGTTCAATCTATACAACTTCATATGAAGAACCGTGTGCAGTGTAGGGGACATGGGGTAAAGTCCACATAGCGACACATAAGTTCAACCGTTTCTTGGCAATATTTTTCAAATTCGTCTACATTTATTTTATATCTGCCACACAAGCATCCCAAATCACTTTGAGTTGATATATAAAATTTTTATCAACTGCCGTTATTGCCGTCGATATTTTTTATTCTTTAAAAAATCATTCCCATCATTAGTGTTTCCGAAATTTGCTTTAGGGACATGGACTAAGAGCCTGATGAGTTGTTGTCTGAATTCGTTCTGAATTTCCTTTTTTTTACTATCTACCACTTGTTTCTCCTCAACAGAAAAGTGGATATTCCATTTTTTTACAGGTAGTCTATATGCTACATTAAATATATTCTCGAAAAAACGTATGCGAGCATGTAGAAGGGAAAGACGGATATTTTAATTTTCTTTCTTGCAGGCCCTTTTTTGTTGTCATTAAACTCTGATGTAGTAGCATCACATATGTAGCACCTCATCGTATATTTGGTATGAGTTGCGGCATTGCACACCTCTCCGTCCACCATGGTGAATAACATTTTATGTTTTATGGACATGCCTTTTATTTTTGTACTGAAAATTCCAGTAATTTGTGATTTAATATTATTTCTTCGTTTGTTATGTCACTTGTCTCCTTGAGTTTTGCCCGTAAACTAATTGACATGGAACTACAGAGCTTTGAAATATATTGGCATCTGAATCAGCTTCATGATCAACCTTCAATTTATATTCTATCTGCTGTGACCCGTACCAACCCTACTTGCTGATTCAAATTAATGATTTTTTTCGTCATCACTCGTATATACAGTTCATCAAATTTCTAGAGGTGTTCGACGCCCAGACAGAGAACGCGCTACGTGTGACTAAGATAGCTATTGTACAGTCTGCTAAACAAGTTATTTTAAATAGTTTTTAATATTTTTAGGTAATTAAATTTTAAAAGTGTGGAATAGTTTAGGGATTAAATTGGTCTGATTGGACTTTCTTAGAACGTTTTTAAAAGCAGCTAAAGATAGTATGTAGAATTGAAAATAATTATTATGCCATAAAAGGTGTTTTGGAATTCCTTCAACCTTTTGAAATTGAGTCAGAAAATATAAATTTTATAGGATAGCGGAAAATACCTATAATTTTTTTGTAGGCCTTTGTAAATCGTGGAAATAGTTTATATTTTATTTCTACCTTATTAAGGAAAATGGTACCTATTATTAATAACGGTTGTTTCTGAAACATTACTAAAATTTTCGAAATTTTGTTTTTCTACAAAATAATAAACTATACTATTTAGAAAAAAATTTATTTCTCTTATAATTTTATAAAAAATAACAGGGGAATATTTACATTTCTTGATCTATTAAACAAAACGATAAATTATCTCGACGAATGACACCATGTTCTAGTACGGAAGCTAGCTTTACATTTTTGTTGGTGGTTTCATGGGTTTCATATCAATTTTTTGTAATTGTAGTTTACACGTACATATACCTCTTAACACTTGTTTGCTTTATTAAAAAAGTGTGTTGTTGTGATTTACGTCGATAAATGGTTATGTATGCAGCAAGTGTAAAAAGTAAGTGTTTATTGAACGCGACGTGAAATTCGCGTGCAATAAACACTTTTTGCACGAGTTGCATACAATATTTTTTCTAAAAACGGAAAAAAATTCAGCCTGTAAATGAACACAACTCAGAAACAAAAATAGCTATCTAATAATAAAAAAATAAAATTTGATTCTTGTGCAGCTTCATCTATATCATTAACTGTTTTTGGTTTTTTAATGGTTTTTCTTGGTGATGAAAATTCCGATATCTCACGGTTATCGATTCTTTTTTTCTCCAGAAATGCGGACGACAGTGTTTTTAGATACTCCTGTGGCTGCAGCAACACGATCATTTACATTTTTAAATGGTATTGAAGGTGAATTAAAGTTTCCTTCTCTTCTCATAAACTCTATAACATTGGCTATTATTTCGCGAGATTGACTGTTAATCACGCGGCCTCTTAATTTGCTATTAAACTCCATACTTAGGTTCTATTAAACTGTAATGAGCAAAAAACACAAACGAAAATAAAAGAAATGTTTTAGCGAAATTTACATCTGACATTTACGTCTGAATGAAATAGTGAAATACTTGATGCGCAGAGTGTACTTTCATTGCGTAAATCCGTCGGGATGCCTGTCAGTAGTGCTTTCTCTGTCTAGCCGTCGAAAGCCTCTAGAAATTTGATGAACTGTAAGTTCTCCAAGATGTAAAATCTGTCATGTACCCGTGTGATACACCAACTTTTACACCCTTACTTCAGCACATGTCTCTGTTACAAGGTGAATTTCCTGATAGCATTCGTTTTTTGCTTTTTGGAGAACAGAGTAGCACGGAAAAAATCTTTTGTTTGTTTCCTGTATTCTCTCATATTGGGCTTTAATGAGTCCCGCTTCTGTGAACGTGGACAGTGCGCAAAGGTGATAAATGGCTAAGTTACCCTTGTTTATACTTTTCTTATGGATGTTGCGTATTTTTTGCTCTTTGGGGACTTGTCGTAAGATCTTTCAAGATTTTTGAAGCATGGACATTGCCTGATTCCCGCAATTTTATTTGTGTAAAATAAGTAAATTTTTCCACGTTTTTTAATCGATGGTATTCGGTTTTTCTTCTCTTACTTCTCTCACTTGACTCTAAAATAGAACGACCGGGTCTGACTCCTGTAACAATAAGACATATTTCTCAAAAATTGTAAAAAAAGTCTTTACCCTATGCAGAAACGCACAACATATGATTATTAATATTGGTAAAGAGTTTGCTATCATCTATTATTGTTTTTTACGTACCTGCACTAGGTAGGGATATAGTTCTGTTTAGCCATTCAGCATTATTTTCTTCGAATCTTGCTTTCATTTTACGAGCAGCTAACCATTTTGTTGAACTGGTGTTTGATTATAGAAAACTTTTGCTTTATATCAGCTAACCTTGTATCATCTTCAGAATATACTTTTAACAGTTCTTGTTCCATGAATTGAAGCTTTCTATAAAATATTGACTCATCAGAGCGTTGCATGATGGTATACAACTCATTTCGAGTCATAATTCTTAATCCAGAGGGATTTGTTAATATAATAAAAAAACTTTTCATCGAAAATTCTAGGTCACTATTTAACTAAAAAAAAAATAACAACACGATTAAAAACAAAAACAGTTTTTGGTCAGGTTTTGGGGCTAAATACCACACTGTTCATCTTAAGTGTTATGTATTAAAACAAATCTTATAGAATTAAATAGAAAATTAAAGTTTTACATTTCAAATACTATGTTACAAGAATAATCAATGTTCAAAGTTTCATGGTCCAATTTACAGTGAATAAAATTTGTTATACGTTTTTAAACCAGCGTGTTTCAATATCCCATGATTTTGTATGAAAATAAGAAAAATATTCATCCTTAATCAACTCCTTTAAATATTAATGCGCTAGTTCAGTGATGATGTAATTATGGTTCCACTGACAATTAAGTGATAGTAGATTTTTTGAGTGCGTTTTGTTCGTTTTTTTTACCTAAATTATATCGTTTTTTCACTTTTATAAATATTAGGCATTCCAACGACCTGTCAAACAATAGGTGCCAGTGGGAAATTCTTGTATATTTAAGGGGGTAGCGACATAGTCTTGCAACTTGGACGCTATTTTTATTCGAAGTAGTACTCGCCAAGTCTGCCAATTTATTAAGAAATGTATAGGTGGGTTTTTTAAATATTATTTTTATTGTGTTTGACATAAAATATTTAAATCTAATCCATTATTCATGATTTTACGTAAAGTAGATACCATATGTCGCCACCCTTAGATATACCAAACCTGCCCACTGGTAATTCATTTGTTTGGAATGCCTAATATTCCTAAAGTAAGTAGATAACATGCGTCAAATATATAATCGTTTAGTTACCAATTACATACAAACTATTTTTTATGATCTGTAAACAATATTTAGAAATAAACTAAAAACAGTAAAAACGTATATGTCAAATTTATTGATGTTTTTGTTAAAAGTTTGGTTAGAATTAAATGTCAGTGGAACCAAAATGACATCACACTGAACTAGCGCATATGATTCATCATTGATACAGGGTGAAATCAATATTTTTAACATCCGTTAAATTTTCATATATCTTTTGTGCACAATAGCACAACTCACATATTTCTATTTTCGAGCTTTTTGAAAATATATTCGCTCCGTGCGAAGTCATGGAAAGGGAAGCAAAAGCGATACTAGCGCTAGCTGCGGATAATTCGTGCATTTTAGGGCGATATTTTGTAATTTTGGCTTATCAAATACACGTATACTTTTGACTTTTTTTCAAAAAAGTAGGTAAAAACAATACAATAAGCAACTGGAGTTGCTGTGTTGAAAATTGTACAAATACTAGCAAAAAAAAAACAGTAGCAAAGTGTAAATTAAATCAAAGAAATAAATGGATAGGTGTACAATAAGAAGAAAAATTACCTTTATTTTTGTAATAATAACAGTAATGCTGGAAATAGTAGACATCAGACACTTGAAAGGTTTTAAATAAACAATAAATTATCATTTTACGATGTTCTTTAATATCCCTTTATTCTTAAATGTTCATTCAGCAAGGACTAGATTTCAAGATTTCTGCCTTTGATCATTATATATGGCTGGACTGCAATTTTGTGACTTACTGATGAGAAACCAGTTTTAATCATTCATTCTATGTTTTCTATCGAACAAAAATGAAAACATAAACAACTATCCTTTTTTTATACATTTTAACTTCACGCTATTATTAAATGGTATTTTTTTTATTTTGACAGAATATGCTAATTATTCAATGACAACTTATTAGAATTAGGCAACTTCTCATACATTTTTCAGTAAATACTGTTGCCTCTCTATATTTTATTATTCATTTTTATTGATTATACATAATTTTCTTTAATTTAAATGATAAAAATATATAATAATAATAATAATAATAATAATAATAAATTAATGTTTTACTTGTTTTACAAATCCATATACTTTTATTAAAACTAACATATATACTTTTTAATTACGATTTCTATTAAAAATTGTATTTGTTAGTATACGCAGAAATAGTCCATTAGTACCAAATCGAATTAGCGCTGCTGTCGCGCACGGAGCGATTAGCAAAATCAGCATATTTTTATGCAGAAAAACAACGTATTGCCACTTCCACAAATGACTGCTGGAGATTGGTTTGCGTTGTTCTTTCCGTACTACAAATTCGCGAGTTTATGATGATGGAGAATGACACAAATCTAGTTGTGCTCCGATAGTCAATAAAAGAAACTCGTCATAAATCAAAATATGCCAGTTTTATTAAAAATAAATTAAGAACATTATTTTCCACAGTGATACAAACCAAAATTAGGACATTATTGTTGAAAAGGTCATTATCAATATGACGCAAAATATGGAAGATCGACATGATTCAAAAGAGGGGTAAAAATAAAATAATTTTGGATTTTTCTTAATTTTGTCAAACCAAACTTGGTAGTATTTGAATACAAAGTGAACACTGTTTTTTCCCAAAAAAGATTTAACATTTTTAAAATACAAGATCATGACAGGAAACATGAAACTTTCAAGTGAATGCCCTTGAAAATATATTTTTTTGAGTTGTCAGTATTCTTGTTTACCAACGATTTGTCTAATAAATGTTGTCAATTCTTTAAAATGTTTATATGTTTTCAGATTCGAGGCCAATTTCGGTTCGCAAACGGTCACCTTCACGTTCAAATGCGGCCTACCCGAAGTCCAACCGGGCCAGATAAGAGTTTTAAGGAAAGGCAACAAAATGGAGGTACTTGTTTGACATTTAGCCAGACATATCTACGTCATTGTCGAGACCAGCAAAACCTACACTGCCATTAGATATTTTTCGTTCACTTCTTTGTTTCGTTGCACAATTTTTTCGTTCTATAAACAAAATTGTTCTAAAAGAGAGATGAAAAAGTATATTTGGTAAATTAGGTAAATGAAATATGTAGGTAAGAGTTGATGTACATAATAACCAACGGGTTTTAGATGAATGGGGTGGTTTAAAAAATAAACAGTGCCAATTTTGGGACCATATTATAATGTTTAGGACACCAACCGCTCTCCTTTTTAGCTGTGTTCTGTTTGCAATATCTCTTTTTGATGTTCTGTCTTCTGCCAATAAACTTCTTTTACAGAGATGTGGCTCATATACTTTTCCATAATGTACCTAACGCATCCACTTCAACTTGTTTACATCAACCACGATCTTCACTAAACACGAATAACATTTATCATCCAGGTAGTTGTAAAGATTAAAGAATGGCCATAACTGTATATATTTATTGTTCGATGTTCGTTGTTTGATATTGTTTTTTGATATATAATTAAAACGTTCTATGTTCAGCAATGATATTCTCTATATAAATTTTAGACTGAATTAACTGTTTTTTATTCCATAACATTATTAACATTTGTAAAAGTGGTATAATGTGATCCTATTGATGCAACGGGCATATCGGTATTATTGTCTGTATTTTTGATTATTATTTTTAGAAAGAAAACGATTGACTCCCTTATTTCTTATGGTCACTATTACGTCACGCTTACAAGGGTGGTCTTTGGCCATTCTTACGGTCAAGGAAAGTGGACCACCCTACAGTCTCCCAGCGAAATGATGCCTTAACATTTATACTGACTGAATCTTTCTTATTATCAATTCTAGGTCTTTAGTTTTGCTCATATTCGTCCCAAGTGTATTTTTTTAAGTTTTTTAGGTCAAACTCATCTATTTTGATATCCATATAAATATGTTCCATCTTTCTTTTCCGATTCTTCAAATTTTATTGAATATACAGTTTTAAACAAAGTAGAATACACTTTCGAAAATATAATTCTCAATTTCATTGCTGAATCAGGGAATTCCTTAAAGGGGACGAGGTTTACATAAAATTGGCCATGGGAAAAAACAACCTTCCCGCAAATCTGTCAGCTATTTTTAAAGTTTGACTGAGTGATTTATTTATGGTCAAAGATTCAATTTTGTATACTTTATTAAGGTCAATAAATGCTTTGCGTTTATCATGTTGCTCTTTCACCTATTGCACACAAATGTTCATCTAAAACCCGCTTTAGAAAAGGATATATGTTGTTTACTTTTTAACTAAATATTTAGAATGGGCAAGTAGTTTATATAACTCGTTGGAATTTCACTGTTACATGGGATAGGCGTTAAATTTATTTTGTCCTAAATATAATTTTAAGTTCGACACTACAGTACAAAACAATGTCACAGATATTTTGAACGATTTTTTCTATTGTTCGTTTAGAAAAATTTCTGTATTTACAAGCAAAACACTTTTTTTCATTCATTAAAAATTGTTCAAAATATCAGTAATGCTTAAGTTTTTTAAAATATTAATATGCTTAAAAAAATTTAAAAGGTTTTAATCTTATTTTGTACAGATTTTTTCCGATTTCGAAAAATCTATAGTAATAAATTTTCATAGAAAATGTTCAAAAACTCATTAGTACTATAGTTATCGATTTGTATTTAAAACTTTGTGATATATTTGAGAAAAATGGTTAAGTACAACAAATTTGTTAATCAAATCGTAGAAAAGTTCGAAGGTTTCTCCGCTTCAAAAAAAAAAAAAAATTGAAAAAGCAGTTTGTTAAAATTTTACATGCACATGTTTTTAGAATATTTGCAATATATCGAGAATGGAATTTTATTGGATAAGAAACTATTTTTAAAGTTTTCAATCTCTTAATAAAAAAATGAAAAGTGGTTAGTATATAGAGTGTTGACAAGATCAAATCTAAAGTCTTGGTTGTGTTGGAGTGAGTAGTAAATGGCGTTCACATGTACAGATGAAAGAATGTCTTATCGACCCCTGCAACATTAATCCCGTATTGTTTCTTTTCCTGTATGGACGAGAGCCACATACATTCACAATACATGCAAAGTAGCGAGTTAAAAAAGATTTCCCTTTTTATTGTAAAAAAAAACAACGCATTACAAAATTTCTAGAAATAAGCAACTTTCAGTCTGAATTTTGCTCCACTAACAGTGAAAATGGTTAATTTAGTAAATTTGTTTCTTATCTAACTAAAATACCTTTCTGTTGGTTCCGATTACCAAATAATAATAGTTAAAAAATAAACGATGAGTGCCAAGCTAGAACTACTTGTTCCGAAATTAAAAAAAAAACAATGGGTACAATTTTAAAATTTCAAAATGTTATTTTTGTATAATGCTGCGATTGCTCTGATTGCAAGTAAAACTATAAGTTTTTCATATTATTTTTTGCAGTTTTTGTTACTGAAATTTAAATTTTTCTGATATAACAGTACAAATAAATATTCTTCTATAAGCAGTATGGTTTGATTTCTTATTTACATGTCTATAATTTATATCGTTTAAACATTTCTACCATTATAAACAATAAGTCAGTAAACAGTAATAAAACTGCAAAAACTTTCTAATTTTCCTAAAAGGAATAAAATTAAAAGCATACCGATTATGTTGATTTATTTCAATTGTTTATTGAATTATGTATATTCTATAGCAATATGTTTTAATAAATAAGTTATATTTTTAATATTAGTAGTTTTATTAATTTTTATATACCAAATTAGAATGGTTATACATTTGGGACGAATAAGTCTCAAAAACGTATTTTTTTCTGGGCGGGGAGTGCTTAGAAAAGCTTAGAAAACTTGACCGAGATAAGCAAGAAGAAAAGTCACCCTGGAGTGAAAGGTAATGAAATTGCAGATACTGATTTCATTAAATAATTTCTTTAAATACTTCATAAGACAGTGCAATAGGGTAATTATATTTCGTATACTCGTCCAAATAGGTATTACACATGTAGTGCTATTATTACACTTTATAGATCACAACTTTAAAGAGTGAATCACCAAAAATTAGGCAAACAACCACTCTCTTGTCAGCCTCTACGTTACCAACCTCTTCCCTACGTATTCAATTCTTGTACTTTTTCGGATAAACTTAAAAACGGATTAGTGATAGTAGCGATGAAAATGATCATTTAAGAGCCTGTTAGGTTTCATGGGAGTTAAATAAAAACCATTGTTATTGCCTTGTGTATTTCCTGAGCAAACACTAGAACAATCGTTACCCTCAAGGCTGTTATCACCTGAACCAAAGTATATGGCTAAAGAGAAGTAGGTTCACTCAGCGTCGGTCCCTTTCATATAGCACGATTTCGTTTGGTTTTTTTCGTTGAGGCTGGGCCGCAATAAATCACTGATACGGGACAAAGTAAGCAGTATACGAGGGCGGCCGGGCGGCTCTGACTCCAGTTAGCTATAGTAGTATCTTACAGAGGTTGTAAGAAAATTAATTTACAAAATGCGCGTGTACTGAATTTCAAAATTGATTATAAAATAATTTTATTATGGTATCTTTTTTTACACAATATTAGCAAAAACATTTTAGAAAATTTTATACAGAACGAAGCCAATGATTTTGAAAATATTCAATAAAATTTTCCGGATTTTTCTAACAAACGTATTAATGGAAAATGTACGATATAAATTGTTAGTTAAATTTTCAATATAGTAAAGTTAAATTTATCTTGAAAATAATATACATCCCATTGGTATTCTTGTTTTTCTTATAAAATGTGAAAGTAACTAGTAAGCTCAGGTATTAAGGGAATTTTCATAGAATTAAAAAATAGAACTCCATAATTTTTTTCAGAACTTAAAGCTATGAGATAGGTAAAGTAAGGGTAGATCAAATCTGTTTTAGATTTAATAAAAACCGCTTAAAAAGTATTAACATTTTTATTAAAAAACAAAATTACAAATTTTGTAAAATCACAAGTTTTTGGTTTTTTTTATTTGAAAATGTTTTTAAATTTCTATTTGCATATTTTAATGTGTAATATATTCTTACCCTTGAATATAATGAAATCAAATAATCAGTAGGAAAATCAGAACAAGGATGGGGTATCGTGATTTCGCTAAAAAGGTGTTGTAGTTCTTTTCCTACTGATCTTTTAAGGCAAATATCATTAAAAACATTCACAAATATATTTTCAAAAGAAATTATAGTTTTTCTAAATGTATCAGGAGCTATACATAAACTACCAAAAGTTCTACCTCTAGTGCTCGAAAAGGCTTTATTATGATTATAAACATTTTCGGGCATATTTTCCTTTCCTTTCTCATAATTAATATTTACAAAATTAAGGCAAATAGAGCATGAATGTTTTTGTAAACATTTGCTAAGCAAATATCCACAAACATAACCAAGACTGTTTCCCTCGGGACTTGTCAAATCGGTATAATCCATACTATTGAGTTTTAAAGGAACAAACGACTGTTTAGGCGGCGTATACAGTAATATTTTTGCATTTTGTAAATCGTTATCTGTTATGTTGGATAAGATCTCATTAGAATCTTCTAGGCAGTTTGTCCCCTCAAATTGAGTAAAATATTGCAAAGCAAAGGAATTTTTGAATGCTCTAGAAAATTGTATGGGGGTTGGATTTCTGGCGTTACCACAACAATTTCTGATTTTCCCGAAGAAATTTTCCAAACAGTCTTGGTTTATATTTCTAGTTAAAATATAAGTGTGTTGTTGCTCCTTCAAATCATCCCATAATTGCAGAAACGCGTTAATACTAATTTGCCAACCTATAGTAAACCGCATTCGAGAAGTGGTATCTTTGCCAGTTTTGGACACAACTCTTAAGTCTCTAAATAGTATATTCATTTCTTTTAAAAAATCAATTTGTTTTGAGGTTCCCATGAATGGTTTATTAAATTCCTTACAATTACGAAACTTACTGGAATTAAAAA